GTCCTGTTGCTGCCCAGCCCCTGGCTTCTCTGACCCAGATAGCGAGGCGATAGATGTCAGAGAAGGTGGAGAAGCGGTCTGGGAGCTCAGCTGGTCATTTGTCGAAGGTGACTCTGAACAAAAAAACAACAATCAGCCTCGAATACGGTCAACATTAATTACTAATTACAATAAATGTAGAGCTGGGGTGTTGTTTTTAGCCTGGATCGCTAACTAGCGATAGCCGCTAGCTGCTAACTAATTAGCATTGGAAATGAACATGCACAAAGGACACATCGGAACACACTTTAAAAAGAAAAAGTACAGTTTCACAAGCAAGACGTGTTCCACAAATTATGTTCAAATATCTCATTAAATGCATGAAGCACTCACCGTCTGCAGATGTCTCTGAAGTTTGTGAAGAGAGTCCAGTCTACAGTAGGGTTGTTCATACAACACAAGCATTTTCTGGTTAGCCTCTTAGCCTAGCCTCCTGGAGCTGTCGCACTGCGCACGTCGTGGCCAACCAGCAATTGGCTAAATCAGATCCAATCATTATAAACGTCAATAGAGGCCTTGCCTCCAGGAAGATATCTCTTAGATTCCAGACCCTTGTCCAAAACAGAGTAAATGACAAGAGTCTGGTTTTAACCAGGCTAGTTACATTCAGTAAAAACTTCCAAGTTTTGATTTATGGCATCCGGAGATCTGCCTTTGTCCGATGGAGGAGCCAAAGTCAGTTCAAAGTTTTTCTTTCAAAATAAAACTTCTCATCAGAAGTCTTAAAATAATGGCGCCTCAAAGCTGGCTATTTTCAGGTCAAGCTCAGCCCAGGGAGATGGGAAGATGGTGTCTCTTCTGTCTTGTTTCTTTTTTCATTCTGTCGAGGCTTCATCAGTGTTAGTTTCTAAAGAGAAGAAGCTAGGGACAATGATCTCGACTTGTGTTAGTTAGGAGGAATGAAAATGTTTAGTCTAGACATTTCACCATAGGTCTGTACAAACATCCTGCACCTGCTCAAAAACAAGTTCAGACTTTGAATTAACACTGAATGAAAATGAACTAAAGTTCACTGAACTAAGGGAATTATCTAAACTGAAATAAATCTTAAAATATTTGTCTATGATTCAAGTACAAATATTTTCACACCTAGATTTCATAATAAAATATAGTGAACTTGTAATCATAATGATAACTTTAGTTAAATTGAAAAATAAATCAGAAAAACACAATCATTTTTACTGTAAAAACAATAGTTGATTAAACAAAGATTGGTGTAACACCAATAAAGAAACATTGAAACATTCTTTTTGTTTTTTCTTCTTTATCAAATATAATGCAAAAGATTTTCATTCTTTTCATTATGTAACTTTGATTTATAAAATGATAATAACTTGTAGTTAAAAGGAAGTATAAATCAAAAATATAAAGAACATTATTATTTTGTTTATTAAAGAAAGTAAAAGGTCTCTTTTGAGGAAGGTCTTTTTAAACTAGGGTCAAAGACAAGTGGAAATGTTTATTCCCCATCGGGGTGAGACTTACACAGGTTTTTTTTAAATTTGAAACATTGATATTAAACATTTTTACTTTATTTATTTTATGACCACAATTTTATTTATTGAATTGTCTATTTTTGTTATTGTTTATGTTTAAAAAGGTATATTTTTGTGTTGATAAGCCTGAGTGGTCTGTTGACTGATGGTTGTATTTGTTCAAATAATTTTTAAGGGCAGGTTACAATATAAAATATAAAAATATGTTTGTAATAATAATGTCTTTTGATTATTTGACAGGACTTTACTTTTAAACTGAAAGTGTATTTAATTTAGTTATAAAGCAAGTACAATACACATTAAACCAAGATTTAGAAT